TTTAACTACATTATGCAATAAGACATCTTGGCACATCCTCGTCTGTTTGGAGATGTTTAAAGCCATTAACCAGCATACCATGGTCATTTACATTAACTGTAAGCGTTTCCTTTGAACTATTAAGGTCAGTAAATCTAAACAACTTAACATTGGAGAAGGGAGAACAAACAGAAACCCTGCTGTTCTGCTATGCCCCCAGGTTAATGTTTTTTCATTGGTTGGCTGAGTTTATCCTGGTTGCCGTCACTTCCTGCCAATCTGCTGTCATTCAGCCTAATCCTCTGCTGGCAGGTCAGGTGGTTCTCTGTTACTGACAGAAGAACACTGACTGTGGAAGTCTTGGCCTCTTAGTACCTTCAGCAGCAGGCAATCAGGTCATGTCAGTATTTAATACACAGGCTTTTGATGGCCCATATTAAAGGCTGAGTGATGTCCCAAATACAACATTGTATTTTAACATTTGCGTATTTAATTTAGCAAATGAAAGCAATCAAAAGGTTGCCTGCACATTAAGGTGCACTGTGAGATTCTTGTATGCCTTCTGATCCCTGCGTTAGAGGGAAATATTCAGTCAAAGCCTCTTAACAGAATGGCTTAGAAAAAGTTGTTTTGTTCTCAGCATGGTACCCAGTTATCTAAAAGCAAAAATGTTATGCCAACCAGTCTATACCTAAAATGTGGGAATGTTTTAGTGATGCAATTCTGTCTATTCTCAACAAATTAATTACCAGACCGAGGTATTTGACAGATTTATAACCGTGATAGAGCCGCAACCTTAGAAGCAGTCAGGGAACTTTACAGATGTGTAAAGTAGGGGGCAGGGAGTGGGCATGTGGCCAATGCTCCACCCCCACTTGGCATCACAGCTGGTGTAATCTCAAGGCAAGATTGTCTCTAGTTTGAGTCTGCCCAACCCTACTAAAACATCTTATCCTTCCAGACTGTATGTTAGCAGGCAAGTTTAAGGGATTAAAGTACTTATTTTAATGGCTTGGATGTACATAACTGCAAGTTTATGGTGGCTCATAAAGAGAACAAAAGCACCTACTGTGTTACTCGGTCATATTTAGCTACTGTTTATGAATAGAGATGTACAAGTTTACATAAGCGCAAACTTGGAGCAGTTACCAGAGGTATAAAATTGAGGTGTAATTTCTTCCTGACACATGTACCAGACCTGACAAGAAAGGGATTGAGCAGTCTTACTGTAAAAGATATTCATTCATAAAAAAAGCCTCAGAACTCTTTCAAGTCAAAACTAAAACTGCTTACTCATTCAGACCAACAGATCTGGTCTTGGTTGAATTTGCAGATGACACTAAGCACTTCTATGAACGAGTCTTCTGAACCCTTTGTCTTCATAAGAAAAGATTTCCGTCTTGCAAATCCACACGCTGACAAATTCTTTACCAAAATTTTTTTATTATTATTTTACATGTACAACTAGTTGATTCTCTTTTAAAATACACATTATGAATTGCATCGAAATATTAATGCCAACGATTAAAACGCAGGGTTATGAACCATTTCTGTGATCTGAAGCTACACTACTCATACTGTATGAGCTACTCTACTCAAAGTTCCTTTGGCTGAGGACCGTGCGGTAGAGAGACGTGCCTATAGCCTGGAAGAAGGTCAGGATCATCTTGTTCTTGGTGACTTCTGCATGGACGAATCCTCCCAGAGTTGAAGCTTGGCCCGTGAAGAACTTCACCGAACCTTTGGGAACATGGTTCCAGTGGCGGATATCAGGATCCAGGAAGTTTCCAGCCCCACTAACCACATAGCCCACACCAGACTCTTCAATATACTGTACGGGGTACAAAAAACAAGGTGAATGTCAAAAAAGTCATGCAGATTAATACCAACAGAGTTTACATGAACCTACCTGCAGATTGTGGTCATGCCCGCAGAAGTAAGCAGTGGCGTTGTATTTTTTGAGGAGGGGATGGAGCCTCTGCAGCAGACACTCTGTGGGCCCGTGTTCAGACACGGACCACACGGGGTAGTGGCCAGCCAGCAACAGGAAGTCTGCCGTTGAGCGAGCCAGTCGCCCCTGTAACCACGTCAGCTGTCGGTTGGCATCCACCGCACGCAGAGGGCCGCGAGGCTTCTCGTCCATGAAGTCGTCAGAGTTGCCGCACAGCATTATGGTGTCGAGCATGATGATGGTTAGGGTCTTCCCAGTGTTGGGAATCCGGAAGTTCAGCTCGTAATAGTAAGAGGGGAACCTCCTGAGAAGGTTACGGATAGCAGGATTGTGACAATAACAATAGGTTGATGAAATTATCATTTGTATGTCAATTAATAACGCTCTATTTTTATACGTTTTGAAACTTGTCATCTTGTTCGCAAACACACACACAGCAAAGAATCCAAAAATAGAAAAAAAGTTTTGATGAATTTATGTAAATTGGGACTTTCAATATGAAACTCAATGTGTGCAGTACAAGTCATATCTTACACTTACTTCATAATCACATTAATTTGAGAAAGTTACCCTTAAAAAAAAAAACACCAAATAAAAAAACAGTAGCACTCGCAGCCGCAAGGCCTCCATTACTTTCATCTTTCAAGTAAAGTTCACCATTAAAAGGAAAAACATCACAAAAAAAACCATTGTCAAGTAATTGATATTAAAAAGGGTCATTTTGGAAGTTAAGTATTCCTTTGATTTTTTCTTTTATTAGACTAAAGGCAAGTTATTTATTATATAAATGTTTAGGTTCATCCTTACCATCGATCCGATTTCTTACTGTACTCAATCTGAGCTTTGACGTTCCCTGCATGGTCATGATTGCCAGCAAGCACATACCAGGGGACTTTGAGAGACTTGGCCGTGTACACAGTCTCAAACGTGTCCTGATAGAAGATTAAGATGAGAAACAAGGTCTTTGTTTTTAATCCACTTTACACAATATTGCTTCACATTTCATTGCCCCACATTTCCAGTTTACTCAACTGACCTGAAACCGAGGAGAGTCCACGTTGTCCACACCTCTGTAGTAGAAGTTATCGCCAAGGGACAGAACAAAGTCAGCTCCCATCTGCTCTGCTACTTTACTCATCTCCCGAGCAGTAGCCTTCTGCACAGCTGTGATGTAGGGCGGATAGGGCACACCACCCCAGTCTCCCACAGCCAGGAACTTAATTGAGGTTCGGTTTTCTGTGAGGGAACAAAAAATAAACTCTTAAAAAGCCGACAGTGTGAGGAGCAACACATCCTTCTGATATAACTAACAAGAAATCATGAAAAAGCTGTGTAAAGTTATACTTACTACCAGTTGCCTCCAAGTTCTCGTAGGCAGTAGGATAGCAGCAGGCCACATGAATGGCAGCAATTAAGATGTAAACCAGTGAAAGTGCCATCTTTGAAAAAAAAAAACACAATCAGATCAACAGTAAGCAGCCAAACCAAATGCAGCTCAAATAAGAGATTTAGACCAAAGCAGCAAAAATGAAATCAACACATGCACAAGAGGAACAGACCACAGACCGCAGCACCATCATCATACCATCTAGCCAACACTTCCTCTCTCCTTCCTACAGTACATCTCTCAACAAAAGTAGCTTGCTTTGTGCCTTCAGGTGACCTGTGATTGGCTACAGCCTGACATGGCCAAGCTGTAGCTAATGGAAGCTAATCACAGCAGCCATGTCTGTGATGCAATGAGGGTCAAAGGTCACAACTTCATGCTTGTTAAAGCATGTAATTGCACCTCTGCTTCTATTAATTAAGAAACGCTACTCCTTATGAAACACAGATTTACACACATTAACTCCATTAGTGTCAGCAGTGACATTAGAAAAGCTAACTAAAGTATCTAATGCCTCATTCCTCTCATATAAAAAAACAAACTGGCAAGGAAAACAACTTGCATTCTGGAGAAATAATGCCAGAGACGAAGATAAAAAACACTCACAGCTGATAAGTGGAGAGCTCAGGACGAGTTGAGGAACACTCGCAGAGCTCTTCCTGCCCGTCCTTTTATCAGCATTCCCGGAGAGGAGTCGTCCCGTCCCGGGACACGGAGCAGGGCCTGATCATTACTCACCCTGACTCATCTGAGATACATGTGATCCACAACGGTTATTATAGCCGGTGTCCAGACTCCACCTCAGTGTTAATCACAGTTTTTTCCTTCAATTTCTTCAGTCTGCTTCCACTTTTTAAGATCATTTATAAAAAAGATAAATAAATATCTCACTGAGTTTATTTCCCTAGCTTAATGCGTAAACTTAAAGCACAGCAAATGCTGACAGCAAGGTGAAACTGTAGTCTTAAATAATGCAGTTTTGTATCATTTAATTTCTGAAACAAAATATTTTCACAAATAGTACAATAAACAACTATATAGTGCGTTCTTCTCACTTTGAAACCATGATATTGCGTTAAACAGCTAAAAGGCCATCAGGAGTTCATTATAAACTGTTTTTGCCTGACAAAATCAAACTGTCAATAGAAGGCATAATAGAAGAAATATTTCTACATTAACAGTTGATGAGCAACTAGCGTTGATCATTTCAGATTCTATTCACATACGTGGGCCTGAAAAAATAAGCACCCTACTAACTTTAATTAAAAAAAAGAAACCTTGCCAGGTGGTAAATTCTCAGGAATGCAATACAGTCGTGTCATTTATTATTTGGCTCTGTAGGAGGCTTTCAGAAGTAAATGTCCACTCTGATGTCCGAGTTTGAAAGATGTGCTTGTTTATAAGGCAGGAAAGTGTAATACAAGAAGCCATGCGAGTAGCATTATGTGAAATGTATTAGTGTTTTCTCAAACTCAAACTGAGACTAATAGTTCAGATATGTAAGCCTCCTATACTTTGATATTTAATTTTAAACCTATTTCAATGTCATTGTAAGAGCAGAATTCAATTTGTGGTGTGCCCCTTAATAAAATAATTATAAATCTGAATTCAGGATTGCAAGGTTAGGGCTATATTGTAACCTTGTACTTGTCTATTAAATAATTAAACAGATTGGAAGTAAAACATTTTTCAAAATAAGAGTCATTTATTTAAGAAAGAAGAAACTGAAGGACATGTTCAGGTCAAAAGTACAAGCAGAAATCAAAACCATATACTGATACAGAACAAGGTAACTAGATGGAAAAAACATAACCGTACAGAGAAGACAATGATAGAGCAGGTATGTTTCTTTTACATTCATGTCAACACGGACATTAGGGAGGTTGGAGTGGAACCTTCTGATCAGAAGAGGAGCCTGCATCCGTCACCTACAACCGGTCTAACAGAGGCCTGTACTAAGAAGAGGATTTGGGGTCAGTGAGGTCACTTCAGGGTTAAATCTGTATTTTCAGTCCTATGACGCTGGTTCACTATTTACCCGGGTAAATCGCCATGTTAACTTATGCTCCGGAGCAGGTAATGTTCAAGATAAGAGATTCGAGTGTAAGCACCGCCTGCTGACCAATCAGAGCTCTGTGTGGGGAGTTTAAAGCAATAGAGTTATATTCCAGGCTGAAGGAAACTGCAGTATATGCAGGCAAGATGGGCGGCAATACAACGCCGACTGTGTGAACATGTAAATTAAAAGAATATCCCGCTCCTCTTCAGAAAGATCTGCCTATTATGAAACCTTCGGTAAACACCCTTAGATGAACGCTTAATAAACCACAGCTGTCTTTAATATATAAAAATAAGCCTGTTTACTGCAGTAACATATTTTTTTTAATTATTTGTGGGGACGTATAATATCTTCTTTTCTATTCCACAAAAAAATATTTTAAACACATTCAGTTGACGAAACACTCAAAGGTCATTCAAGTGTCGGATCCACTTGTGTCTTAAATGGGGCAGTGATATTATAAAGCTGTTTATTTACGCATTCAAACAGTCAGTCGTTTTTTGCCGTCTCTCCTTTATCCTGGATTATGTGTTTAACTCACGGAGGAATACAGTTTAAATTCTTCATACTTGTCTAATATTACAGATGACTCTTCATTCATTGACGTATGACGCTGTGCTGCCTGTACGCTTGTGCAGGTTTGTTATTGGTCAATGTTGTTAACCACGCCCCTTTTACTTGAACGCACTCTCAGCCGAACAGAGAAACCATGGGTTGATTTACCGAGTTGTTAACCAGCGTCGTAGGACCACTTAGCGAGATCACCATTGTTATGGTTAGTAAAGTAAGATAACTCAAATGCCCAAGAGCTATTGATGTGAGAACGCAACAAAAACACGACATACTGAGGTGAGAAGGTTGTACACTGATGATTAGTAATGCATGTTGTTCTGGTTCTGTCCTCCGGAGCCCTGGTACGAACTGCAACTCTGATTCTGATTCTCCGAGGACGACTGGTACCCCCAATCTGTGGACAAACCAGAAGGTGTTATATGATGGGTCTGATACATTATTATGCTTTTGGGGGTTTTCTCCTGTAGTGTGTTTTGTGCATGTAAATGGTCTACAAAGGATAACATCTGTGTGGTTCTTCATGAGGGAGTTTCTCTCCCAGACACTCCCCCCCTTCCTGAAACACCACCATTGGACTCCTTTGTTTACTTCTGTAACATAGTGACGTCACTATGTAACACTCACACTTATTTTGGCTAGTGCCCCAACACATTGTACGTGATAAGCTAAGGGGCGGGACATCTCTAAGTAGTTGACCAAACAGAGCAGACTGGGCTCTGGTTTCAGACAGAGGGTGAAAAGACAGACAGTATGAGAAAAATAAAGAGCTTTTTGAACATTAAAGCAGACATGTCACATTGTCACAGTAGACTAGAGGCACAGAAAACAAAGAGACTTGAAAACATGCTTAATAGGGCCCTTTTAAAGAAGGATGTGGATTAAGTCCAGTTGCAGTTTATATCCAACACGTCATAACTTTATTTTTATTAGACCTTTGAGTGAAATTGTCATAATTGGCCAATGAATTGATAAGTTATATCCAGAAGTACGTTGTTGTGACCCCTTTAACGTCAATATTGTAATTAGACTAAGTCTAAGTAGTGATCTCTGCCAAATTTGAACTGATTTCCAGACGTTTTTTGAGATATGGCAATGAATGGAATCAGTTACCTTGGATAGTACAGTGACGTTTCGTCCAAGTTAAGTTTATGCTAAAGAAGGGTTTCTCCGGAAAAATCACGTGTACACCAAAAACATAAACATTTGATTTATTCATAAAAACCTTTAGCAGGAAGAACATTTGTATTTGATTATATCAGTTAAATTCAACTCCATCCTCCCTCACCGTGAGAGTTATACATCTGTCCGCCCGTCACTGAGCTGGGGTAAGCCGTGCTGTACATGGAGTAGTTTCCCCCCGGGTTCTGCGTCTGACTCTGGGTCAGCATTTTCTTCTTCTCGTCTCCGTAGCCGTAGCTGTAGGGGCTCTCCTGGTCGGCGGGTGGAGGCATGGACTGGTAGCTTTCTCCCTGTGTGGTGCCGGTGTCGGAGCTGGAGACGGGCGGGGAGACATATGTGCTGGTGCTACTGCCTTCTGGATAAAAGGTGCCATAGCCAACACTGCTGCTTGATGCGGGAGGGCCTGTGGCTGTGGTGCTGGCTGCATAGCTCCCATACAGTTTCTCTAAAGGACAGACAAGACACTTTTACAAACAGGCATTTCAGTGACTCCTTATTATCCTATAAAAGTTGAATGGACCTTTGTTTAATGCATAGTTGTTCATTTGTGTGTAGTTATATATTCAGGTCACTCTTGGAAAATATATTTTAATCTCAATGAGTCTTTTTACCTGGTTAAATAAAGGATATACAGTATAAAGATATTATTTTCTTTAAAAATGTTTTATGTAAAGCAATTTGTTGTTATTGTTTTTTAAATGTGCTATACAAATAACGATTATTATTAACATTATTATTTTCTTAAATCAGTTTCAAACAATGTCTATTTTTTAATTCAGTGACGATATAAATAAACAAAAACAAGCATGGAAAACACGTCTATCAAGGGAAACAAATGTCGCCTTTCACTAGTTATGTTAGGGGGACTGCAAAGACTTTTCGGTTAGTAATAAATACTTACGATAGCTTCTGCCAGCCCCGCCCTCATAACTGTAGTTAGCTTTTGAAATAAAGGAAAGAAATTAACATTTAGTTGGTTTCTTTACAGACGTATAAAGTGTATTTAAAAGGATCTTGGAAAGATTTTCTTTGCAAGACCAAGCTGAAATCAAGTGAGTGCAAATTCTTTACTCTTGTTATAGCTCGGTCCTGAGGAAAACTGCTTTCCTCGGCCCCTGCCTCGACCTCTGTTGGGACCCCAGCCCCGAGACCCTGAGTCTGAAGGAATGCCGCGGATAGTGCCGAACCCCGGGATGTGCTGTTGAACAGGAAATGGACAAATAATTGATGTTAATATCTAATGCAACGTGTAACAATTTTGATATTCAACCAAGGAACTAAACGTTTTATTAAACATTTATACAGAAACAAAACCTAAAAAGCCACAATGATGATTAATGGTACTACATAATGAGAAGCGGTAGTCTTTACAGAAGCTCACACACAACATGAATGAGTCAAAACTTCATTTCATTGGCCATAATTTTTTCCACCCAAAGTCACACACTTTTAAGGATCGTGGGAACTTATGGTTTGGGACTACAAGTTCAGCAAAACTAACAAGATAAACAATATATCATATCATGAACTAGATGAGTTACCATGTCAGTGTAGGTGACTTTCTTCTTGGGAGCATTTCTGTCCGTGTTTGACACGCCACACTCCTCCGGGAACAGCTTCTCTAGAGCAGCGAGGGCAGCGTACGACTTTGCCTCCTTCTTATTAGAGCCTCTCCCTTTGAACTTCTCTCCATCAACCGCCACCTGATGGACAGGAAAAAGATAAAGCATCAAAGCTTTTTAAACTGACATACATTACAGTGTGTAATCTTATTTGATTCTACCACTTAAGAGTCCGCAGACACTAAACCCTCCAAAAGAACCCAACAGTAAACCTTTGTGTTTTTCTTGTATGTGATAATGCTGACTCACCTCCATGACAAAGCACTTTTCATGGGAGCCCCCTGTCTCTGCAGACAGCTCGTATTTCAGGCTGCGGCGCTTCTCATTCAGCTCCATCACAGGGTTCTTCCCATGTTTGGTTAAGATAGGACCCTGACCACTCTGAAGCAATTAACAAACATTGGCCGGTAAACACACATGACTATCTTTTTAAAGATAATTCTCAGAGGGAGGAACTGAGGAACATACTTCGTCCGATGCATTAGAGGCCGTGCTAGCAGCTTTCACTACTTCCTTGGTTCCTTCCACTTCAACAATGGGCTCCGCTTTAGATTCTGCGCCAGTCGGAAGGCCGAGATCCTGCAGGGCCTGTCAATTAAAAAAGTCTAATTATTAACAACTCTTGCTTTATTCAAATGCCATGTGTGTACAGGTAAATAAAAATGGTCAACCATCAGGAAAATGCTTCAGATGTTCTGCCATTAAAAGACGTCATTGTCGAGATAAAGCGACAAATGCCTTTTTAACCCCTTTTAAATCTCAATATATGCCAAAAGAAAATTACAAAATAAATACATTTCTTTGAATTTTCCCATTAAATCCAATCATCTTTCCTTACTGTTAAACTAATATTTATTTTAGCTAGTCCCAACCAATTTCAACCAATAGGCCACTCATCCATTAATCAACCTGCTAACAAAAAGGGTTGCACAGTAGCTCTGTATCACACTACACCCTAACCCCGCCCCCTCGATAGAGGTACAATCAAATTCATAGGTTTATTTCAAATTAGTAACTACTAGTACTATTATAAGTGGACACAGATCAAATGTGTATTTCACTGTGGAGAAGATTTTTTTTTTGTGAAGACCAACTCGATAATCTTAAATAAGAAATATAAGAGTCTTGCCTTGGTGGCTACGTTAAGCTTGGCCGCTCGCTTGGATGGTCCCGTTGACTCGTAGGTCTTCCCGTTCACGTCCACAGCCATAGTGAAGACCGGCTCGTGGACCGGACCGGTCTGAGACGTGAGTCGGTACTCCAGGCCCGGTCTGTACTGGTTCAGACGCATCACAGCATTCATGCTAAAATCATCCGTAACTATGGAGAAAAGGAAAATAAACTCATTAGACACGAGCAGTTTCCTTGAGAGATATCCAGAACTATGAATTCATGCAGCTCTGCAATCATTTTTCCCAGCTTTTATATACGTCATGTTGTCATTTTATTAGGGGGGGCCCTAAAAGACGACTATCTAATCTTAGGAGCCTGACTGGCGATAAAGTGATTGTGGAAACAAAGCATAATTTCACTTGGGCAATATTGGGGCACGATTTGTCTGATTCTACAATTCATTTATTGGTTCCTTTCTTTTTTTGGTATAAATATCACTCTTTTAAGAATTCTGTTAATACTCATTTTAATTTACTATTAATCTCCTTATTTTGCATGAAGACATCATGTAGATCAGGGGTGTCAAACTCAATTTCATCGCGGGCCACATTAGAATTATGGTTGCACTCAAAGGGCCGGTGGTAACTTCAAGACTATATAAATATACATAGATAAATATATAATATATATAAAATAATGTATTATTTTACAATATTTCCTCTGCATTGGATTATTATCTAGGGTAATAACTTCATAATTAACTACGTCTGAAAGCAGAAGTCTAGGGCAAATAATTGCAAGTCTCTTCAGTGCGCAACTCAGAAAAATGAGATGCATTGTGGGACA